GGCGGAGGGGGAGGGGGATCGGCTTCACCGCCGCCTTGCTGGTGCGCTCGAAGTCTCGGCAGATGGGTCCCCATCTTCGGGCTTGGGCGGCTCAGGATCGCGGGCCGGATCGTCGGAGATCTACGGATTGGCCCTGCTGGCGAATTCCAGCTGTCGTTTTTTGGCTGCGATCTCCTCCCTCTTGCGCGCCGCCTCCGGGTCTTCCGCCTAAGTGTTCGCCTGCTCCGCTTCCTCCGCCGACAACATAAAAAATTTGGTATTTTCGGGATTCAAGTTTGACTCTCTTCTTGTTGAAGTTCTTCAGTATATCAACAGTTTTTCATGTGTTGTTATGGAATCAATCCATACTTTCATCAGGAAGTCAATTAAACCAACATTGGTCCTGCAATCGGAGATCTCCCACTCAGACTCCTCCAGCTCTAGCTCTTCGGAATCCTCTTCATCCTCGTCTTCTTCCTCCTCCTTACTCTGCTCTCTTTCGTTGTGCTCACTATAACTGCCTTCCTCCGGGGTTTCTTCCTCCTCGTCCTCTCCAGTGGTTTCAACTCAGATAATTCTGCTGTGATGGCGGGTTGCGTCCGCTTCCCCGCTCCTCCAAGCATGCTGACCACTGAAGGTACGGCGTCAAAGTCCATGTGAGGACGTGCGGGACCGGGCTCTCGTCACTCTGCGAGACGATCTCGAGGGGGAGATTGTCAGCCAACTGCGCAAAGGGGATCGTGAGCTCCTGCGCAATCAGCTGGCGATGGTCGGGCCGTATCGATCCAAAGAGGAAACCGAGAACATCGCCCTCCACGTCTGTCTTCCAGGCCTGGACGATCATCAGCTCCAAGTACTCAAACCACTCGCGGTGTTCCTCGTCCCTTGTCCATGTAAGCCTCACCCCGACCAAGCACACCGAAAGATCGACGAAGTGCTCACACCACAGTCGCCACTGCCTTGGATCAAGAAGGGGGACAGCGAGCGGTTCCCGACAGAAAGAAAAGCGAGGATGGACACCAGACTGCCAGAGGGTGGGAAAAAGAGATGGAAGAGCGAAGGTGGAGAGTTGGGAACGGTTCATTGGGGACGTTGGAAGGGAACGAGTTCTGGAAGCACCACCGCCGGCTCGTGCTGGAACGCTCGAATCTCGTCGAGGTCGATACCGTCCGTAGGGAAGAGATTGTCCCCGCGGCGCGTGAGCCAATGGTTGCATTCAACTGCCAACTGGTGGCCCCACATTCGTAACGACGTTTGGATGGCCATATGTCGTAGCGCACTGACCGTGCTTATATCTCCGCTGAAACCGACAATTGTGGACACGTGGCTTATCGCGGGAGTTGACCGCCGATGTACCGCCACTTCCTCTGCTAACACGACCGCCTGAGGGCTGCCTGCGAATCGGAACTCGGCTGCTGCGTATACCCCCGAAGTACAGAAGAATTGCGCGAGTCGTAGAAGATCCAGATTGAACCGCGGATAATGAACCGGCCGAATCGTTGAGATGTAGCCTCCTGGCGCCAGCAGATGATCACTGAGAGCTCGCTCCGTAAGAAAAATCATGGCGATGGTGGCGGAGACGGAGTATGGGAAAAGGCGAGAGACGCAGGGGAGGAAGAGAGTGATGGAGAATCGTCGTCTTCTTCGGTAGCCAAGGAAGAGGAAGAGGGTATAGGAGATGGGGAGGGAGGGAGGGGACGTAGGTAAGACACGTGGCGGACGATCGGTCGCGCCGATCGGCTTTCCGAGACTTCCGGCACGAGGTTCACCGTGTTCACTACGTTCGGGCCGAGCTCGATCACGCAAAGTCGCCCAAAGAATCGTGGCGCTATCTTGCCTTGGCGAGCACATTTCCTCACCTGCACCAAGTCCCCTAACTTATACTGGGCCGCGTTCCCGTTCCGGGCCTTGTAACTACGGACCTGCCGGCCATGGGCCAACTCGGTCATTTTCTGTCGTTTTCGGGCCAATCGGGCCAGGGACCGTTCCATCAATTCCATGTGCCGCTTGGCCTTCTCTCGAACCGTGGCCCTGGTGGGCCGGCGGTTCAGCGAAGATTCGTCCGGGAGGCTTGGTATTGAAACGCAAGCCACGCTATTGGTCCTTAATTGGAACAGGCTCAGGCCCGTCGATTCTTGGGGCGTCCCTCGATGTACCGCCAAGATGTGATCTACGATATCGGGCCAGGGCCTAGGGTCCCGCGCCGCGATATTGCATCGTAGCGCAATCTTTATCACCCTATTTGCATTTTCTACGAGCCCGTTAGATTGTGACATATGGGGTGTGGTATTCCGAATAGCGACACCGTGTACGACCAAATTCCTCAAGACTTCTCCCCTGAATTCTACCCCATTATCGGTCAAAATTTCCTCCGTGTCCTGGTGCATCCCTAAAAACCGATTGACGTATCGAGCAATTTCGGCCGCCTGTCGCGTACGACAGGGATATGCCTCGATCCATTTCGAAAAATGGTCCACGAACACGAGTAGGACTGAATATTCACAGCTATTGGGTCCAGGGGGTACCACAATATCGGTAGTATCCATGCTAACCCTTTGGAAAGGTCGTTCAACTACCGTTGGCACTATCGATCTTGGCGGCTGAATCAGCACCTTGTCAGCAGCACAGACTTGACAGTTCGCGACAATGAATTTCACATCGTCACGAATATTGGACCAATACCACTCGTTTTTGTCATTTGCCGCATCCGTTATCCGTACGGCGAAATGGGCAGCCGTTTCTTCATGCGCTGTCTTCACCCAGTCATACCTCATGAACGGGTGCAGCACTACAATCCCAATTCCGCTACCATCCATTTTCCGTTTTTCCAATCGTCCCTCCTTCCAACGATAGTCTCGAGCCCTTTCATTGGCCCTCCTCCGATCTTCCCTGGTGAAGTCCTGGAGGGGGTTACCTACCAGAGTGGCAATCAAAGCGATATCCGTCCATACTCGGCCCTTCTAAACTTCCGGGTTTTCTCCAACCCTTCTGACGTGGCATCTAAAAAGCGAGCCTCGGTCGGGATCTTATTAACCTGACACAAGGGGCATAGCCAAGGCTTACTATCATTTCGGTATTGGATGCACGAGTCGTGGGCTCGTGCGACACACTGTCGATAGTCTATCCATTCCGCATATTCTTCTCCGCTAGGGCGCATAGAGACCGAATATACGCGAGAAATTGCTTCACAAAAATAACAAAATTTATCAAGCAGGGAGAGGAGAGATGAGGAGGAGAGAGGAGAGAGAAGAGTTGTAGGATTACCATCGTCATCCATTGCCAATCGCCTGCTTTTTGCCACGAGAGAGAACTGCCACTTGTCCGTACTTGGGTCCGTTCACGGACTCCGGTTCCTTCCACAGGACGATCTCTTCCGTCTTAGGCACTTTAGCTGGTCGATGCAGACGTGTCAGCCCGTCTGCGTTGCCGTGTCTCTCCGTCTTCCGATGGATGATGTTGAAGTCGTACTCTTGTAGGCGCACTGCCCATCGGCCAATCATGCTCGTGTAATTAGAGAGCCTTTTCAGTGCTAACAGGGGCTAATGATCGGTGACAAGGAGGAACTTCTGTCCGTACAGATATGGATGAAAGTGCTGGATTCCCCACACTACTGCGTAGCATTCGCCTTGCGGGGCTGAGTCATTCCTTCGCTCGTCTGGTACCGTTCGCGACGCATACTCGATGACATGTTCGTGGCCATCGTTCCCCTTTTGTGCTAAAATAGCGGAAATAGTCTCCGGTTGTCAGTCCGTGATGAGAATGAACTGCTTCAAGGGGTCCGGTCGGATCAAAATAGGTGTCATTGCTAGGGCTTTTTTGAGGGCCGCGAAGGCCTACTCGCATTCCGCGTCCCAACTGAGGGGCTGGTCCTTCCGTAGCAGGTTCGTCAAGGGTCGTGCAATCGCGGCGAAGCCCTTGATGAAACAGCGATAGTACGACGCCAACCCCAAGAAGGCTCGAACCTACGTTAGCGACGTGGGAATAGGGGTTTCTTTCACCGCCGCGACCTTTCTCGAGTCAGGCCGCAATCCTCCACATGTCACAACGTAGCCCAAAAATGAAATTTCCGAGAGGAAAAATTCGCTCTTCTCAAGCGCGATCTTGAATCCAGCGTCTCTCAAAGCTCCTAATGTCCACTCGACATGTTGAGCATGGCCGTGATAGGTCTCCGAATAAACCAGGATGTCGTCCATGTACACGATAACGCAGAAGTTGATCATCCCCTACGTAAATCGTGTCTTGTTGACGAAGTTATGAAACGTGATGTTCATGGCCCGCCGAAACGTGGCCGGCGCATTGCAAATCCCCATCGGGCATCGAACCCATTGCCACGTGCCTTCAAACAATACGAAGGCCGACTTTGGCCGATCTTCCTCCTTAACCAAAATGTGATGGAAGTCATGCTGGATATCAAACTTACTGAAATAATTAGCACACTCAATCGCATCCAGTAAATCATCAATCCGGGGGAGGGGATACATATCTTTGATCGTGATGTCATTCAGTTTAATCAATGCATATGCGGATCGATCCGTTCTTTTTCGGTACCAATACTACCAGGAATGACCATGGTCTGCTGGCGGGTTCAATCCAACCGCTTGCTTCGAATTCTTGAATCCGTTCGAGAGCCTTTTTCCGCTCCACCAGGGAATATTTGTAAGGCTTGAAGTGAATCGGGGAATGATTCCCCGTCTGGATCTCGTGTTGTATGACTAACGACAGTCCAATGTCTGTGTCTGTCACACTAATCGCTCCTTTGTATTCTTTCAAGATGTTTGCGATTAGGTGGTGGATTTCGTCAGGTACGTATCGAGGTACGTGCAACTCGTATGACTCGTCCCATATTCGCACATCGATGTGTTTCGTATTCATTCGCTTAGTATTTTCCGGCGGGGGCGCGGAGATGAACGAGTTATCGGATCCGCAGGAGAACACCGTGACCATCATCTGTGAATCTTTTTCCCAGATGACCACGTGTTCTTCAGGCGTCACTCCGTCTCGAATGTCCTGCCACGACATGGGTTTCGTGGCGATCTTGATTCCGAGTCCGTTCTTGAGGCGCTCAGGGGGTTCCAAAGACTTTATCTCTGCCCCTAAGCGTAGCAATCAAATTTCCTTTGCAAGTGTCAGCAGGAATTTCGGAAGATCCGTGATATCGCAGTAGTGCCTTTTGTTGTTGTATCGGGCGAGAAGAGGGGAGATCCCTTCGTACAGTGTTCGAGGGGGTTCCAAAGAATCGACCATCCTCGAAATCTGTACGAGAGGTTCTCCCATAATCATTGCCTGTGTTCTTTGTAAATCTTGGTTAGTTCTGCTTGGGGCTTCCACATTCTCCCGCTGCACGGGGTAATGAATACGTTCCCGTGCCATCTTCAGGATTTCAGGATCATTATCATCATCGCTGTTGTCTGCGTCCTTGGGCGTCTGCCCGTTGTCCCAGGTAATCATGCGGAGGATCCCTGTCATCGCGGGAGAAACTCGTGGGGCTATGTTAGCGGTAGTACGAAGGGTCAGTCTCATCGGCACAACATAAGGTTTCCCTCCCGTATTTCGGAGGATAATGGACCGTCTTTCGAAGTCGAGATTGGCTCGCAGCGCTACCAGGGCAGGAAGGCCGAAAAGAACGTCGTAAGTATTGACATCTAATACTACGACGTCTCCCAAAGCATGCACCTTCCCTAATCGAAATGCAACATTGGCCATCCGTCCCGCCGTTCTAATCTTTTCTTCGTCTGCGGAAACGAGCTGATCTTTTTCTGTTAGCATAATTAAGTCGTTCTTTCTTCCTACTCTTTCAACTACTCGTAGCGAAATAGCCAGAACAGCGGCTCCCGAATCGATAATTGCATTGTACGGGACTCCCCATACTTCGATATCGCATTCCGCAGATTTCCATGGGATAGGTTTTATTCGTAGGAAGTGATCATCTTTCTGTATTAGCCTTATGCGTATCGGATCGGAGACTCCTGCGGCATTTTCGTCTGGCACTGGTCCTTTCGTTTTCGTGTTTGCTGTTCGGGCAAGGGCAAATCGTTTCCCATTCACTTTGCAGTGCTGCAGCATACGTTCGTTAGCTTGTTCTGATATCGAAAGTAGATGGCCGATCGGAAGAGGAATCCGATGATCCAATGCCCGGACGATGTTTAGAACATCGATTTCGCCGATGACGAAAGTGGGTCCTCTCGACTCCTTCTCTTCGGGAGAAGGTCGCCACTCCGCCACTTCTTTCTCTTCCGGCGTCGGTCTGATAGTTCCAATCATTCCAAGCCCCGGATACCCAAGTGATACATACTGTTCTAACGGAATGAGCTCAACAACCTCCTCTGTGGTAGCTAGCGCACTTCCTCCGCCTTCCATTTATTCCATCAGGGCTCCTACCTGTCCAGGGGCTGCAGCTACTGGCTCGGCTCCGACCCGTTGTTGCGGGGGTCGGTGAGGGCAATCTCGAGCTAGATGCCCCGGTTGATGGCATGCATAACAGACGTTCAGATTGCCCGTGGCCCCTCCAAGAACAGGTGCCGGGGCCAGTCCTTGTTGGATTGGGGCGGTGCGTACTGCGATGGGCCGCATATTTCTCATCATAGCTTCCAGCCGAGCATTATGCTCTCGCTGTTCCTTTTTGCTTTCTTGGATTAGGCTAAGTAGTGTTTTGGTCAGGTCCAAAATGATGGTTGATTCATTCGACCGTATGAGATTTTCGATCGGTGGTGGGGGTGCCGTCATTACCAGTGCTGGTATCACGGGGCGGGCATGCCCGTAGTCACACTCGGTGCTGGTCGTTTAGGGGATATCTGCTCCAGATAGGTCACATGACCTGGCACAAACCCCATGTTTTCGAACTTGTTTTGCAACGCGGCCAGCTCAGCCTTTGCCCTCGCAAGTTCGGACGAATCTCCTTCCTTCGGATAGTGTTCCCCTTCTAGGAAACTTGCAGCAAACTTGCGTTTCATCTCTTCTGCAGCGGCCATGATCTGTTGCAGCGTATGATTGATGCGGGAGAACTGTTTTCGCAGTTTCGCCCTTATCGTTTGGCTGCGAAGTCCGTCTATAAACAAATCTCTTCCTACTTGCTCGCCTCGCTCCGCTTTCACGAACATCCGGTAAAACCGGTTTCGATATTCCGTAACGGATTCGAGGGGGGTTTGCCACTTGTTTTTGGACTCGATCTTTAATCATTAAGAACGCTTGTTCTGAATGGACATAATCAAACCGATTCATAAAGTCTCGCTTGAAAGTTGGAAGATCCACCCATGCATAGGTACTAAACCAATGATGGGCGTCCCCTCCTAATCGGGCGGGGATGTTCACCTGAGCTTCGTTGTCATCGTACTGCTGTGCTCGGAGCGTAGCTAACCATGCTCCAGCAAGATGATGCGCAGGATCAAACAGATAGAGATCTGGTGGCGTCATAGGAGCTCGTGCACGTGGTACAGGTTTATTAGGATTTTGCTGGGGATTCAGGTTCTGTAGGGGGTTCTGCTGATTAGCATTCATATTGACGGCCCGTCGATTAACCGATCTGCTTCTAGTGACGACTGGGTCGCGTCTATGCGCGTTTCGGGGTCGAGGTCGCCCTCGGTTAGCCAGATCGCTTAATTATCGTGCGGTTAGTCCTGTAACCCGGCCACGTGTCGGGCTCTGATACCAACCTCACGCCCAGCGCGACTTCCTAATCAGAGTGGGATATGGGCCTGGAAGTGCGAAAAGGGGTGCACCAAGGATTTTTGGGAAAGTGGGGGTGGAGTCCTAGGTCAGAACTGAAATCTCATGTGGCAAGGTTCTAGGGGCACGGGTGCAATAAGGCTGAGGGCAAGTTCCTTCTGGGTTGCTGGCGTTTATGTCGTGCAGCATAAGGCAGATGGCATGCGCGGTGCGTTCAAGGTCGTCCGCTTCGCCTGTTTTGGGGGCGGCGGTTCAGGGCTAGGTCTGCCCGGAATGACTGTGATTCCGATGAGTCGGGCCTTTGGGGGCAGCCACGTGGCGTCTGTCGTCGCGTGTTTGGGTTAGGCCCTCTGGTTTTGGGGGCTCGTCGATTGCTGCGACGTCGGCAATTTCATCAGGGCGTGCGGGGCCAATACTCCGCGATGGAATTCCACAGTACCACCGTAAGTTGGTGGTACGGGAGGAGAAGACGAAAAGGAGGGAAATTAGTAGCGATAACAACGAAGCCGGGGGATATGAAGTAGTGCGAGTTGTCCGAAGTGGGAAAATCGGGACACCTCGGGTCGCTGATCGTAGCGCAGTGAAACTCCCTAGGGCACAATCGATTCTCGGTTAGACAGGGGAATTCCGGACGTGTCTGAGGCACTCGTTCACCCAAGGGGTAAAATACTCCGGATCCCACGATGAATCTGAGTCCCTCGAGTTCGTTATCTTGTCATTGTGAAGCCGCGGAATTCCTTAGTGCGTGGTTACCCGGATGGGGAATTTCCGAGCTCAGCGTTCAGAAATTCCGTGCCTGTCCCGTTATTCCACGATTGCGATCACCGCGTGTGAGTACTTGTAGACTGCGCGAATGGGATCGCACTTACACGTGTTCAGACGGGATGATCGCTTTGTTGCAAACACACAATGGCCACCGAACACATCCAATCAGTCAATATCCCCGCGATCGTTAGCCCTTTCATGTGTGGGTGGTTACAAATCGACGCGCATGGACACGTGTATGTGCACAAATCAGATCGCGCTTACACGCATCCCCATGAGGTATTCGCTGGTTTCTGGAAAAACAGCTACCCAATCATCTAATCAAACCGTGATCCGTACGCAATCATTCCTGATTCTTGAATATGCAAGGGGCTACCACACATTCACAACAACAACAGTAGATAAAAAAAAAGACAAATAGCAATAGCGAGGACTACGCGAACTTCTCTTTTATGCTCTTGAGTGTATCAAAACGACAAGCAAAGACAAAGATCAGGCATAAGGAAAAGCAACAGACATAACATCCATTCAGCAAAACCCACAATATCCGAGATTGAAATCACAAAAACAAGTGTGGCCGAAACCAAGTCAAGATTCTGAAAAACAAAAGAAAACGGGCGAATCGCCCCGAGCCGAGATCAAAATTTATATACAAAAGCAATGAGGGAGAAAAGACAAAAGAAACAGCAAATCCGCGTCCATCAACCTCAGCTCCCTCTTTCTCTCTCTCTGTCTCTCCGATGCGGACAGTCCGTCGTCGCGCACCAACGCACGAAGTCGTCACCCCGCTTAGTTCTCCCGCACCCGTTAGGTTCGCCCGCACCCACAGTCCGTCATGGCCCGCGTCAACCCCGCGCGTTTGGCACCAGCTCGTGGGCTCGCCCGACTCCCACTTCAACTCACCTCTTACTTCGCTCGTGAGTCGACCCTCACTGATTGCGCTACCCCGAGCTTCCACTAGCTGGTTAAGAGAGCTATCTAATATCGTAGCCGGAATTTATAGCGTGTATGCATCCGCGAAGAACCCGGAATCGCATGGACTTAGCAAGAAGATTAGGAGAGGGTGCGCCTGCGTTCTGCATGGTCGGGCCACGGCGTGGGGGACGTAGCCTCTCTCCACTCATCGATCCGAGCATGCAGTCCGCGGGCTGGCTAGACACAGCAAGAGAAAACAAGAGCGGGAAAGACGAAGCACAAGAAGAAAGGATACAGTTACAATGGCGCCCGCCCAAAATTTCAGTTACAAATACAATTAAAGGCGCCGGCTAATCAGAGTTCAGTTGCAGCCGCACAGAGAAGCGCGTAAGCAAAAAGCGTTGCACGGCAAGGAAAAATCTTAATTGCAAAATTCCTAAATTCCTGTCTAATGCAGAAAAAGCGAAAAAACACGAATCCCGAAAAGAAAGTTCGAAATTCCGAGAGCCACAATGGCTCGACAAGATTCAAAAAAGAATTCAAAAAGAAATTACAAAAAGAATGAAGAAAAATTCCCGCGCGATGTCCGCGCCTAAAAGGTCCGAAACCGAAACAAAAGAAGCGACGTCAACATTTATATATTGCACGAGCGGCGGCGCACCACTCCGACAGCCAATCAACCAGTTGATCATCCCGGGGCCCATCCGGGCCGGAACCCAATCATCCGAAAAGTCAACGAAAAAGGACGAAGAAGCGAGGACACTGATGCAATTTCCCTTCCATCCCAATCTCCCGTAATTGGCCCAATCTTCCCAACTTAGGACCCCTCATTGTCAACGCGCAGAAAGTCGTGCGGGACAGAAATTGGTTCGTCACAGTCCAGCGTCCCAATACATTTGATGAAGAGTAAGCATTCCATGGGTATGTGTATGTCTGATCTACTTCGTACCGGCTGAGCAACACATCTGATGGAGAGTAAGCATCCCATGAGTATGTGTATGTTTCTGTTTAATCTACTTTGTACCGACTGAGCATTACTGTATAAGTGCTGAGTAAGCGTACGGTTAACCGTCGTGGACTACAGTTAACTGTAGTGGACTGTTTGGACTAATAAGAATAGTCCACTACAGTTAACCGTACACTTACTCAGTACTTATACAGTAATGCTCGGTCGGTAGAAAGTAGATTAAACATAAACATACACATGCTCATGGAATGCTTACTCTCCATCAGATGTGTTGCTCAGCCAGCACAAAGTAGATCAGACATACACATACCCATGGAATGCTTACTCTTCATCAAATGTATTGGGACACTGGACCCTATTTCCAGCTGGTGAAGCTCCCCACTAATAGATGGAGCCCCTCGGAAGTGCTAACGGTGTCTGTTCTTCCAGCACCCCTAGCCCTGAAACGGGTTGTTTTCAAAAAAAAAAAAAAAAAAAAAAAAAAGAAAGATCATGCGTGATTTGTTTATTTATTTTGCACGTGATTTCTTCTTTTTTTTTTCACGTGTGATTTATTTATTTATATATATATATTTTTTTGCACGTTATTTTTTTTTTTCACACATGATTTATTTATTTATTTACTTTTTCACACGTGATTTCTTTTTCTTTCTCTTTTTTTTTTAGAAAAACAGCCCGAACGGGTGCTAGGGGTGCTGATAAGTGCAGACACCACGAGCATCATCGGGGAGGCTCCATCTATTGGTGGGGAGCAGCACCTGCTGGAAATCGGGTCCAGCGTCCCTATTTACAACGTGGAAAGTGAGGATGTCACGATTTGCCCTCTGTTGTTTGAGACCTTGCTATCTTACGGTATTGTGTCTGATACTGTACGTGTGGAGATACCAATTACGGTAGTTTGATAAATGTCATCTGATCCTCTTCAAGGACTTTTTCGGTAGTATTCGCATCCCATATCGACGCAGTGGACAGAAAAGCCCACCTTAAACTGATAGACGAGTTTCGTCCCCCGTGGACAAGGCTTTGTCACCGGAACAGTGGGAGCTTCTTAAGGCCGCTCTCTCCAAGCAGGAAGTTTGGACCACACTCCTACTGATGG